GACTGTGTGTCGTCATTGTCATCATGATTATAATTGTTCATCATCGGTCGGTCAGTTTTCGACATAGAACTATACACATATTTGCGGCAGTTCAAGTCGCCACACTCCCTCCTTGTAGCACACAAAGCAAAAGAAGAAAGTAGGAGAAATGCATAATATAGACAGTAAACAGAGGTGTAAGACAAAGGTATAGTAATAACGGAGAACGAAACAGTTTCATTGGAAATCATAAGTCACAAGGAGTGGATGCATCTGCACTTGCTATTGAGAACGATTTTGAGCCATGTCACCAATTGTTTTCAACCATTGGTTTTTACCGTCCTGAGGACCCCAACCAGGAAGTCTACACCTTCCTACGTGGCTTAGACTAACTGTTGTGGATTTCATTGACTGGTCAAGCCATGTTTTCGTTTGACCGCCTATAGCTCTTTTCCAGCCTGTCTCTACATCAGCTAACATTGCCCATTGTCGAGGAAGGCGATGACTAGGCATACGTAACACATATCCTAACCATCTCAGTCTATATAATTTCACAGTCTTGTCTATTGATTTCCCCGCCTTGCCTAGCACTCGACGCCTAACCTCAATATTACTCACCTTCATCATAGATTTTCTGTGGGGAAAAAGGATAAAGTTAATGTTAGGACATTCTTTGCTCACTGATGAATGCATATGATTAACCTAATTTACTTTACCTTTTTTTCTATATATATATATATATATATATATATGTATATTATACAACAAAGCATTTGCAATTTAATCCACTAAGTAAATCCATTCAAAAGAGAGAGGTGAATTATTCCCCCCTCCTCATAAGAATATGATATTTTAACCGATCGATTATGAATTCTTTGATGTATTATTAAAGTATGCAAAAATATGTTAATCAGTATGAATAGAAGTCATACTGCATACAGTACAGTACAGTACTTGAATACAGTGCTTACAGTAGTAATGTGTACTTAATGGTGATCAGAATATGTACGAGTTAATGCAACTTAGTCAAACATTTTCCCTAACTTTTTTGTTTTTACAGTGCTAACAATTTAAAAGTAATCAAAAATATTTCATACCAGTGATTCCTTTAGTAAATTTCGATAAAGAAAGGAAAATGAAATTTGCAGTATAAAATAATATCATCATTCTATTTCACAGGTTCTCATCAGCTGCAGACTACCTGAAATTACAGTGGTTATATAGATGATAATAACATACTTTAATGTTTAAGTGGTAGTAGAGAAGAAATACTATGATACTGACGTATTCAAAATGTAAACATTACAATTTTCAGTTTAAGGTTTCATTATTAATTTATTCGCTTTCAAAGTAGAAAAGACGGGGGAAGGGTAAGACGGAAAACAGAAAAAAAATTAACAAACGGTGTTAGCTTTTAGGTTTAAATAGCAACTTCTCTACTACCACTTCAACACTAAAGTATGTTATTATCATAACCATTGTGAGCGTCGGTGGCACAGCGGTTAGGACGCTCGCTGACCATGCAAATGGTCCGGGATTCGATCCCCGGCCGACGCACGCATTTACCTCACTAAGCCAGAAATAAAAAGCCAGTAAAGAGAAAGGTTGGGCGTGAGCCTGGCAAACATGTCCTGTAAAGAAATAAACACTGCTACAGAAACTTCAAGCCTCTAGCTTGAAGCCTTATGTTCCACTGGGAACGTGAAGGAATTAATAATAATAAATAATAATGATGACCATTGTCACTTCTGGTAGTCTGCAGCTGATGAGAACCTGCGAAATAAAATGATGATATCATTTTATACTGCAAATTTTGTCTACGTTTCTTTATCTCAATGAAAAATAGTTATTAATTATTTATTGCAATTTCCTACATCTATGTAGCTGAGTTCAAGAAATGTTTGATGTGATTTCCATGGAAAACAATTAATGTGTTTATCTTAATATTAAGATTTTACACATTAGAATTTGTGTGTATCATTGCACCTTATTCAAATAAAATATCTACAGTGAATAAATGGTTGATGGGCTTCAGCATTCGACTTCCAATTATCCGATGGCATGTTCGAATTCGGCTCTGCCTATTTTATTCATCTTGGCCCATGTGACATCTGTTTCATATGCCCTGTTGTTTAATGAAAAGCTGCCATTTTGATGTAATTGTGTTCTTTTAGCTGGCTGGTTTATTTACGAAGTTTTCATTGTTCTACTGTGCAACATCTTCAGTGCATACTTCAATTTGAAGTTTATAAATCATCTCTCTTGGTGACCTTGAACGTGATTGTCTGTTTTCGTGTGTTTTCACATTCTCTAGGCCATTTTGAAAAGTTGGCATCAATCCATAAAGTCTCTGATTATTGGTGTGAGTCATATAGGCAGGTGTGGACTGTTTGTTTGGGGATCTTGAAATGCTAAGAACCAGTGATTTGATACCCTTAGTGGTATAACTGAAAATCTTTCTCAGTGGCACAGGTTCGCTCACTCCTTATATAATCTCCGAGATACATTGAGTTCTTATGGTTTTCCATGCTATTATTCTTTCTCTTCAGCATTTCTGCTCATTTTGGTTTTTGTCGAATTTTATTTTCTCTCTTTTCTACTTTTGTGTGCTACATGGAGTGTGGCGACTTAAATTGCCGCAAACTCCTATTCTGAAAATCGGTGATTCAGTCAGATAATGTGTATAGGACTATTAATGAAGAGTGGAAATAAATTTATTTTAAAAGTCAAAGTCAATAAACATTATTCGTCCACTGAGACTTTATCTCTTAGTGTAATTTATGCTCAAGAAGAATTTTATTGAAAGTGTCATTATTCACGGATGTGTATCACTGTAATCGTCTAATTTCACTTTATCAATTAGTTAGATGCATTTTCAATTGTTTAAAATCCTTCCTAAATATCTGTTTTACTTTCTATTACCATAATGATGAAAATATTCTGGTTGGAACCTTTTGTGACTGTAATTTAATTCTGTTACTTAGACTCTTAGTTTACTCAATAGTGAATGGCTGTTTTATCGTCAGTTTTTTTTCCTTCACGTTCCCAGTGAAACAAACGGCTTCAAGCTACAGGCTTGAAGTTTCTGTAGCAGTGTTTATTTCTTTACAGGATGGGGTTGCTAGCCTCATACCCAACCTTTCCTCTTTACCAGCATTATTTCTGGCTTAGCGAGGTAAAGGCGTGCGTCGGCCGGGGATCGAACCACGGGCCATGTGCATGGTCCTAACCGCTGAGCTACCGACGTTATCATCAGTTGATTAATCATTATTGTATTGGCTGTATATTCATAATTGGTGGTTAATAGTTGATGAACTGATGCTAATAAGCGTCTTTTTGGATTCGTGCTTTTATTACACTAAATTTTTTATTCGGACGTCTTAGTATTCACCTTAAACTGTACTATTACTACCATTTGAGGTTTTTGAGGTCTAGATTACCTTTTTTACTAACATTTAGTTTAACAGATCATATCGCAAACTCATGCTACTTCTTTAGAGCAAAATACCCACATTTGAATAATATTCGTATAATGTGAACCTGTTTTTGAACAGAACTTCATAGTAGTCGTATGGATTTGTTGTTTGTTACTTGGGTGTCATACCGAAAACGAGCGTGTTTTCATTTATTTCAGCATTTCTCCTATAAATAATCGTAAAATATAAATCATTCTCTATTTTATGTGATAAATAGATAATATAGGATGAACTATTTCATCCAGAAGTGGTTGTTTCCGTCAGATGTCTAGTTAACCATATTCTATACCTCGAAGTTATTCCACCTTGATTTCTATTTCATGATTAATTCTAATTTGAAGGCCAGTGATGAATATATTTCTCAGTAAACGAATTATTGAATGCCATTCAACCGGAAAAAGTGTCACGAAAATTAAATAACAAACATTAGTACGTTCCATATGTCTACTTTGACGTGTGAAGTTTTGACTCATTAGCTTAAGTCGATTGGCTCTGAATCGAATGCTTTTGACTATAAGTCTTCTTGATGTATACTTAGCATGAAGAACTGCATGGTATCAGTCATCACACAAATAAGTGTGACTTATAGCCTGTCACATGAAAACTTTGTTCTAAAAATCGAACTCAACTATCTGCAGGGATAAAACAGTTTGAATATAAAAACTACTCGTTATATTTCTTGTGACTAGAACAGTCATCTCTTACAATCTGCATGAATACTTCTTAAAGCTTGCGCTGAAGACGTTGTCTAGAAGGATAGCGAAACCTTTACTATTAAAGTGACCAGCTCAGAGAACCCAAGTACATCGAAATTTCCAGCACCTATTGGAATAATCTTATAATATGGTTAAAAGTATTTTGTGTCAAAGTTTCTATTCACCGCCATTTTGTTTTGTTTATTTTGTAATGTAGAATAGTCAAACACTTTACTCTATATGATTAGTTTTGTATATTCTAATTCTTAAAAGATAAGCATGAACGCAATTCAGAATCTTCTCGGATATCTAATAAACACTTTATATGGAATAGAATAGAATAATACTATAATAACCTCTTACTAAGTCGATTAATCTCAAAGATTAAGAAATGACTGCGTATATTGATTGTTTATTTTGTACAAATTATCAGTGATCGCATTAATTGAAACGGTTACAGTGCGTAGAATGATAAGTTCACATGTTAAGTGACCTCCAAATTTGAAATGATCATATTATAACCCAATGTGACACAATATATTTCGTTTCAGAATAGCTCTTGAATTGAAAAAAATGTATCATAGAAACTATGGAAGCTAATCAGTTATCAGCTACACCCTACCCCTTGAAAACTTTCTGAAAGTCTAGTAATGCAATTGAATACTAGGTGATATTTCGGAAATGTGTTTATGCTTTCTGTGACATCTCATCAATGAACACTGATTACTATGTAGAGATTGAGAGTGATTCTATTTGAATGCAGAGTTTCTCATCTGTCTGAAAAAAGTTTAATGGCCATTAATTGTATTTGTTTTTTTTACTTTTTGCTTTATTTCCCTTTTCATTCAAGTATTGCTCGACAGTCTGTTGATGGTTCTCAATACTCAATTTTACTAATTCTAACAGATGGTATCATATCAGATTTACCGCAAACAAAAGCGGCTATCGTAAATGTAAGTTGATCATTAGATTATTGTTAATTAGTTGTTAATTAATTCTTTATTTCTACTTACTAGTAATAATCTTTAGTTTAGGCGAATATTTCGCTCCTGCATTCAGTACAAATTCTGACAGTGATATGTGGATAGGTTAACACTTTCTGGATGCCTAATCTGGAAGTTGATATTCTTTCCAATTCGTCTGAAAAACAAAATGGACTAATTTCTCATGACTCTAACACTCAGGAAATATCTGCTTTGAAGTCAGTGATGATATGCACCCGTATTGCGGAGGTGGTGGGGGGTGCGGTCGACTTTAATATCAACAATTCAGAGCTCAAAATTTCCGACTCCTGTTTTTACTTAGGTAGCTCACTTGACTGGTTGACAGTCCACAGGAAGCGCTTTACTGATATTACATTATCTGTCGTTCTCAAAGCCTCATCATAATGTAAGTTAATAACGTTACAATAGTTAACTGCACTCCGTTCGATTACTACCCAACTAACTTTTCTGATATAATATGATCTTCATAAATAGATGTTCCAGATAGGATAGATCAGAGTTAGAGTACATATTATACTACTCAGTTTAGGGCCCTGGCATTACTAAATTCCTTTTTTAAGACGTTTATTCTAATCAATTTTTATTCTTTATCTTCTACAAGTTCCTTTGGTTCGTAGTATCATTCTCCCCAGTGTTCTTTAATTAACGTGGATGACGTTTTCCCTTGAATCTGCATACTTGTTGTTCTCTTGTTATTCTTGTTTCTATGATTAATGAGTTATACGGTTATACTAACATTTTTTTTCATAGGTAATATATATGTAAGAAGTAGAATGATAGAAAATTTTATTTGTTTATTTTTTAAAGTTCTACCCTGGATTTCACTCATCAGTACTGATGAGTTACTTTTACCATTCTCATATAACCGACAATAGTCCATTTCCAGTATAAATTTCTATCGGTGTTAATAATCTAATTTAATCAGTCGTCCGTTTTGTGCTTTTTTTGTCTATAGAATAATTAAATAAACTGAATTCTCATTCTTCTTATTATTATTATTGCCGTTCTCTTTTTGTTGAGATATATATATTCACTTGACACTACTACTTCATTTTCTATTAAGTACTATAAGCCAATGTGTATTTTTTTAATGGACCAAGCAAAAGGCATGACAAATATATACATACATACATGTATGTATGCCTACCAGGACTCCTTGCCTTTTTTTTTCTCCTGAATGCTTACTTAGTCTTACAATTTGTTTATATGGTGTCAATAGTTACCGTATAGAAAGAAAGAGAAAAAAACACAAAGAATGACTCTATTATCACTGTAATAATTTCCCCTATGCTAATGAATGTGTTATCTATTAAAAGAGACAATTGAGAGAACTAGAAGGAGTGAAAGTACACTTCCTGTTTTTAAATGATTTCTTGTGGTTAATTTATTTATTGAGACAATCAAGGTACCATGTACTACTAATGCTACTACTAACAGTGTAAACTCTTTGCATTTTGTTTCTTCCTAATTGAATACTTTAGTTAAAATTCTTTTCTATTTGTCACCATAGGAATTCTTTCCAATAAAATGGTTATATTCTTCTCGTTAAACTACTAATAAATAAGTGCATTATCATGTCGGTTAAATATATTTCTCCCTCCGTCTTCCCCTTGTCGTTTGTTGCCACTTTCCATATTTCCACCAGTATGAGCGTTGCCTCAAACCGACTGAGAGTGCGCCGTGTTGCGTCGATAAAAAAACTTCAGTGACTAACCTCTCTGTCTCTTCACCTAACAATATTCCTTCTCAATACTCTCACACTGCCCCAGCCCACTTATTGTGTGAATACGTGAAAGTGAATGCAATACAATGTAGTGGCTGTGGTTTTTTCTACGTTATTTAACTTATCAGAGTCAATTATTCTAGGTCTAGCTAGATTTTTATGTTCCAATAATCTAACCTATCCCGATCTACTAGTTTGACCTCACAGTCATCACACGGTATTTGGTAAATTATATTATTTTTCTTAAGTGGATCTATTACTTCCTCAGGCCAACAAAGTTTATCTCTGAGAGAGTTGACTGGTTGGTTTAGATGCCATCCTAATTCCAGTTTCATCAAGAATCGTAGGTAAGGCGTCTGACGTTCCTTTTTCATACGCCAATACTAAACAGGCTTTGAGTTCAATACTATTTTCGTCATTTTTACTGCTAATTTTAGTTTTTCTTCATATATTTCTGAATTAATTCTGATAGGTAGATATTCAAAAGTAATATTTCCTTTATTTGTTTGATTTCCTTATTCAAATCTTCTAGTCTACTAGTTAGACTCCTGGCCCGATTATAAAGACATACATTTAAACCTATGTTTACCAATTCTGGATAGGATGAATTATTATTATTTTATTTCTTCACTTTTCGAGTGGAACATTGGGCTTCAAGCTAGAGCTTTGAGGTTTCAGAAACAAGGGTGTTTATTTTTAAGAGGTGGGGTTGTTAGCCTTACGCCCAACCTTCCGTATTTACCTGCATGACTCCTGGCTAAGCGAGATTTAAGAGTACGTCGGCAGAGGATCAAACTCCGGACGAGCGTTCTAACGCTCAACCACCGACGGATGAGATGAATTAAAAATTCAAGTATTTATTAGAGTGTATCGGTTTTCTATAAATGCTAGTATCTAACCCACCATCTTGTTTTCGTTTTATTCAGTAGTATAGTATAGCCACCTCACCTTGTTCGTTTTCTTACTCAGAAGTGAATTGGATTCCGCCTACTTTTGAGTGTATAATAAATAAATGAGTGTTCACATTGATTAGGCAATAAGCAGTTAAAGATGAATTAGTCAGAATATCTACCAGACGGACTGCTTATGCGCAGCTAATCATATTGGGTGCACAATTAGGCATATGCATTATTACATTTCCGAATATCATCCTGCATGGCTAAGCAAATGACAGACAAAATCTATCTGTAGCTTTGTTTTAGCACTCCTTGTAGATAGTGAGCATAATGTTGATGTTGATGAGGTATTTCAGTTTATTTATCACATTCAGATCAATATGAGTTTCGCTTTGCTAGTTCTTCTTCTGCATACACCTGAAGCCATCGGAATCCATTTAAAGAAGAAGCCAGAATTGTGTGCTGAAAAGAAAACACTGACAATTTCTCCCCACCCAAACCCTAATCCTTACACAACTTGTCATTGTTTTTAACTATGTTATTATTCTGACTACTTTATTTTTAATTGCTTACTACGTAATCAATTTGAACACTTATTTCTTTTTTAATTGCTTCTCTTATTTTTCCGAACTATGCATTACGCAACCTACTTGACAAATTTTCACAATTATCTCAAACCTTTCATCGTCTTGGTTGATTATCGCCCCCCCCCAGTGACATGTTGATATTGAATAATTATTGTTAAAAAACTTATCACTATCAGACTGGTAAACTTTTTAGTATTGTATTACAATGTTATATATATATATATTTGTTGGAGTAGAGCAACAGATAAGGATCTAATTGAAAAGTAAACATTTCTTCGCTCAACCCTTTTGTTTTCTACATATCCCAATGGGGATATTCTTTTCAGTATGTTACATTAAAATAAATAACTCCCTCATGGAATATTACTCTACCAAAATATACATATGCACTTTGGTATATAACTAGTGAATAACTGCCCAACAGAATTTGTTCAAAAATTTATGAAGAACCATAGAAAACTAATACTAGCAATAAAAATGACGAAAATAGTATTGAACTCAAAGCCTTTTTAGCATTGGCGTATGAAAAAGGAACGTCAGAGGCCTTAGGTAGGATTTTCAATGAGGCTGGAATTAGGGTGGCATTTAAACCAACTAACCAACCAACTCTATCAGAGATAAACTTTGTCGGCTTGAGGAAGTAATAGATCCAATTAAGAAAAATAATCTAATTTACCAAGTACTATGTGATGACTTTGAGGTGGATTATATAAGCCGTGAAACTATTAGATTGGGGTCAATTAGATTATTGGAACATAAAAATCTAGCTGGCAATTGATATGATTATGAACAATAAATTTTGTTCGAAACGTCATCCAGTAAATAGTACTGTTTCACTGTGTGATACATCTAATAAACAAACTAAAATGGAAAAATCTAGCTAGACGTAGAATGATTAACCCTGCTAAGTTAAATAACTTAGAATCTCGGCCATTGCTTTACATCCACTTGCATATAATCACACAGTCGGTGGGTTGGGGCAGGTTGAGAGTATTGAGAATCAATATCGTTAGGTGGAGAGACAGAGAGGTTAATCACTGAAGCTTTTTTTATCGTTTCAACACCGCACACTTGCAGTTGGAATGACTCAACACTTTTACTGGGGATATGGAAAGTGGCAACAAACGACAAGGGGAAGACGGAAGGAGAAATATATATATATACGTCTGTATAAGAGACAAATTGTGAAGCCATTTGACTAAATTTACATGATTATGAGTGGGAATAATTTTTGCTGGAAACCTTATCATCCATTTTTTAATACTATATCACTGTCTGATATTTGAAATAAACTTATTTAATATGGAATTAAATCCTACCACGGGTGCCCAAGTTCTACACCCACAGGAAGTGAATCATTCTCTGTAGGCACTTCACTCTAAACTTTGGGTTGAAAATGTTGTCCGTGTGAGGGATAAAGACTTTGTAAGTGAAATTTTCAGCTCATATAACACAAAAATATCAAGGAACCTACCTATCTAGGCTACAAATCTTTGCTTATATATCTTACTGTTTTTATTTAATAATATGTTCCCTTCTATCACGTTCCTGTTTTATTCTTCAATGGAATTGTGAAAATTGTTTTCTTTTTTTTCTACTTGTCGATTTTCATTTTCACCATTTTGTATCCTGGAATTCTTTCTTTTGAGAAAGTATCACAAGCACGTACCATTCTCTGCTTGTTTAGTTATTCACTGAACATGTTCTCCAGGTCATTAAAAGTAAATATATTTGTACAGGAGATGAGGTTGAATTACATATATGCTGAGCAGACCGTTGGGTGACATCACTCACCGAACAGGTCATTCAGTGGAATCCGAATGGAGTGAGTGTGAGAGTGAGATGGAATAAATCTTGTAAAGATGAAACGAAAGCTTATTGGCTAATGTGGAGCCAGCTAAAAGAGACTGCAGAGATTAGGGTAGAGTGATGATTGGCTTCTGAAGTCGTATATCTCACTTAGAACCCAAAGGAATAATATCAGGGATTTGGCAACAGTTCTAAACCATAGTGAACCATC